ACAATTTCCAAATTGTTGAGGCTTTAAAAAAAAACTTCTCAACTCGACCATTGGTATAAAAATCAAGTTTTCGTGACCATTAACCACGAAAAAGGTGATTCAACTCGCGTTACTAGAAATGCATGATTCAACTTTCAATTTCCTTTGATCGATCAAATCTCGGTATTTCTTCATAGTCCCTTTAGTTCTACGCTAATTATGGGCTCAAGGGCTAAAACTAAAATATAGGTTTAGCTCCCTTCACTAGAGGCAATGTTAGTTTGGGATTTTCAAACGTTAGTCCTGAATTAGATCGATTTGGATCACAGAGACATGAAGAATTGTAAACGAAAGTTTAAATCGGAATGGAAGAATAGAAAAATAACATTTGAGTAAAGAAAATGTTTTATTGTGAGTATATTGCTAGAAATTTTAAAATATCCTTTCTTTCTAGACACTTTCCATACTTATACAGTTTCAAACGCACAAAATACGGTATTCATTGATCATATTATTCAACTCCCTTTTACCCGAGCGTTACGTTATTTGAACTTTAGATCCAGCTATCTAGTTCTCTCAATCTGCTGGCGCTAATTCTTCTTTATTCCGAGGCCCATTTTTTAGTACTCATTCCGTTTTGGAGCGTTATTTAGCAATAGTAACCATATTCGATCTAAATGAGTAATCGTTGAGTTGGGCCCTATACCTACGCCGTCGCGGTAGGCTTTCTCATCTCGGATTTGATTGATTTCTCCAAAATTTAATTTCATGTTAGTCTGGCATCCGATCACGAGTTAGGCCCTCTAACTAGGGGTGGAATTATTATCCGGGATCCGAGAACCGATCCGTTATCCGTTCGGAATCGCTCCGAAAATTAGGATATTCGGGGAGCCCGGATCCGTATAAGAATAGTAAAATCTAGGATCCGTGAAAAGAGAATCCGGATAAGGATAGTTTTACAAAATTTTAAGGTCCGGATATCCGGATCCGGATCCGGACGCATTAAATATATTAAAAACATATATATTATATATCTATTAAGCTAATTTTATATAAATAAATATATATATAAAAATTGATTTTAGTTTTTTTTATAATAAATTATATTTATAATGAAAAATATCATTTAAAATATTAATTAATAATTTTTAAAAATATATTTTTATTTATTTATTCATTATTTTAATTATTTTTAATATTAATTTCGGATCCGGATCCGAATATCCGCGGATATCCGTTTTTTTGGCCGGATATCCAGAGTCCGGATATCCGGAGGTCCGATTTCGGATCCGGATAGTTTTTTTCACGGATCCGACGAATCCGGATCCGAATACCTTGAAATTCCAGGATATCCGGATCTGTTCCACCCCTACCTCTAACCATGTTGTCGGGCTCAACCTTCCCAACTCAGACTTTAAAACTCTTACTAAGGATGTAAATGGTAACTGCTTAAAGTTGTTGAATGCGGAATCAGACGGAATTTATTAATGATTTATTGCGAAATATCTAGCAGAATAACCATATGACTTAAATGGAAACTCTGGAATCTGGCTAAATCTATCATATTATTAATTTGAGTAACATATAATATTAGAATAAATTTAATCCCGTAGAATAATTAGAATAAATATTAATTTTTTTGTCCAGATTAATAATGCATTAACATATAATATTTTTGTTTGTTTATAAGTGATGTTATTGCACATCAACTAAAAATAATTTTTTTTATTTTCATCAATTAATATCTAGTAAACACAATTCAACCAATATAACACAATATGAAGAATTCAAATAGTTATAAAAAAAATCAATTAGTAGCGCCTTTGAATAGCGAAAACATCATTTAACTTGGACGTAAGTTTTTTTATAATTACGATTGGTCCTATAATATATATGATTGTTTTATATTGGCTAGATTTTTTCAAAAAACATTGTTTTGAATTATTTCACAGATGGACCACATTTATATACAAAAATCAATCGCAAATTCGAATATACACAAACATATTTTTGATTTTATATAATAATTATTCAAATAACGATAGTTGATTTCTAACTCAAACTATAATAATTTTACTCGATAATCAATTTATCTCGTATATAGCGTAAATAATTACTTAATATATAGCTCGTTAAACGTATATATTATACAAAATATAAAGATTCATGGAGATTATGAATAGTTGGAAAGCTAAAAAGATGAAGTCATGTCTAACATTTTGACTTATAATATTAATATATATTAATTCAGCACTAATTGTCTTCTTTTTTAAAAAAAAAAAATTTTGCGACCAAGGCTAATAAAATTTGGTAAAAAATCATATCTTTCCGAGTACTTGTTTAAAATAACTAAATTGTTTGGAAGCTACACAAAATGAGTAGAGAAATAGCTAACCTCAATCATTAAAATATATGTTCTATAACTATAGAGGCGTATGTTGAACACAAACAGAATGAGTAAGCCTTATCTATAATAAAAAAACTGATAAGTCCTAAATCATGTGAAATTTTTTTTACGCATCGTGTCAATGATGGGAGTAAAGACAGCTTTCACTGCTGGTTTTCCTCCACTAATCTAAAAAGATAAAAACAGTGATGTGAGTTATAAAAAAGCAGTAAAAAACTATGAAAACCAAGTTTTAAAGATTAACTACCCACCCAAACACAATCCTTGTTATCTTTCTTGATTATGAAGCTTCTGTCACCAAAAGGAGTCCAATTTCAGAAACATCATGTTTATCGTCAAGGAGTACCAGATTAGATATCCGGAGCAAAACATACCACTCTGCTCCATTGAACTTATTTTCCACATTCTTGTTATGCTTTTGAGACTTCAGCTATTTTAACCTCATAATACAATTTTCTTTTGATCTACCAAGTATACTGCTCAACTGAGCTGGTGGACTTCCCTGGGCATCGAGAAACTGAAGACGATTATCTTCTTGACTTGATCACATTTTTTCTTTGTACTATGTATATTTGTGGAGTGATTTGATTCTCGGAATTGGGAAGAACAAGAGAGAGAAAGAGACGTTGGCAAGAAAGGGAAACATTAGCAGCATTAATTATTTTTTAGTGTTATTTCTTTTATTTTTTTAGTGTTATTTCTTATATTCAGCTGAATTCCTTAACTTCAACTGGTGTCTCATACCAAATATTAAGCTAAATTACTGAAAATTCCTCAATTCGTTATACACCAGTTAGTAGGATTGGTATGGATGCGAAATCTGATGTCAACACGAACTTGAATCAATTATTAGAATTTTGTCTGTTTTCAAAAAAAAATATATTAGAATTTTGTTGAGTCATTTTAACTTTCTATTGCTACTCTCATTTGAAAAAAAAATGAGAGTTATCAAATTTTTCTTTTTATCAAACTGTTTTGTTATCTTACTGGAAACTGATGTAGGATGGGGAAGAGAACGAATTTGTTCCATCTACTGAACCAAGCCTCTCCAAAGAGGTAACATCATGGAAGATGTTTGTTAGCTTATTCTAGCTGTTTTGTTTATCTTACTTAATTTGTTTTACTTAATGTTTGTAGGAAGATTGTGATGGTCCCGTCTCTGAAACTGAGGAAGTTTTAGGCCTCGTTGCTGAATCAGAAGAGTCCAGTGAGGTACAATAAGGATTGACTTGAGAAAAATTTGTTTGCATGATCTTGAAACTCATGAAGTACTCTAACCACTTTTTCGTATGTAGGATACTGACACAGATGGCGAATATGTGCCATCTTCCGAGCCTGACTCCATAACTAGTCATTGCAAACTTTGTTAATAATTTTACTCTATATTTATTTTATTTTGCGCATAGCGTGAATAATTACCTA